TTGAATGGAGTCGTCGTGCAGCAGGGGCGTCAGTATATCCGAATATACAAACTTTTGCTGATTGGTTGAGTGACCTTGCCAAGGTTGTCAGCCTAATGCCTTCTGTAGTGTCATCGTTACAGCGAAGTAGCCAGGCATCGTCGTCAACAGCCGTGCGTTCAGTTACGCAGTCGTCTTCAAGTCGTCAGTCTTCAAATATTCCTAGAAGAGTGTTACTCAATAATGAGCCAGAGCCTGTTCAACAACATCAGCAACCATTGTGTTGCATTAAGTGTAAGCAATGTCATCAGTTAAAGGTATGTCCAGAATTTAAGGAACTTAATGTGCAAAATAAGTGGACTCTGGTGAAAGCCAACCGTCTGTGCTTTGCATGCCTTCAACGAGGTCATGGTTTTTGTGATTGTCGATCTAGGCATGAGTGTGGGGTCGACAAGTGCAAGCGTATGCACCACCCTCTCTTGCATCAGGCTGTCACATCTGTTAAACCCTCGTCATCAGTTAATCGTTCAACTGTTCAGCCCGCAACATCGTCTGCTACCAACAGTAATGAGCATTTATTGAATTGCCGCGAAAACCAAAACGAATGTTTGTTTAAAATATTGCCTGTGGTGTTAACCGGACCCAACGGAAGCTTCGCGATTTATGCCATGATCGATGAGGGTTCTTCAATAACTCTTCTGGAAGAAAGTATTGCCAACAGCCTTGGGGTCAAAGGCCGTACTACGCCACTCACGTTACAGTGGTACAATAAAAAGAAAATTACAGAAAAATCGCGTGTACTCAACCTGCAAGTAAGTGCAGAGAGTCGAAATACATCATATCAGTTGAAGAATGTATACACTATCAAACAATTGGATTTACCAACGCAAACCTTTGAACGAAATAATTATAGCAATCTTATAAACTTGCCAATCGCCAATTATTCATCCGTCAAACCTGCTTTATTGATTGGGTTAGACAACAGCCATTTGTGTGTTGCCAAAGAAATGGTTAGCTGTGGTCCTAATGAACCTATCGCCATCGCCACCAAGTTGGGTTGGGTGGTTTATGGGCCAACAAAGGTTGGTAGTGGCCCTATAGCCAACGTTTTCCACGTCCGTAAACAATTTTCATCGCAGCAGTTACACCGGTTAGTGGAAGAGTACTTCAGTCTAGACAGTTTCGCAGTAAACAAGCCAGATACTCCTCTTCAGTCAAAAGAAGACTTAAGATCTAGAGAGATTCTTTGCAAAAGAACAAAAAACATTGGGAATCGCTACCAAGTAGGGTTATTGTGGTGCGAAGATCAAGTTCAATTGCCACGTAGTTATGAAATGGCTAAGAAGAGATTACTAAACGTCGAAAACAAAATGGCCAAAGATCCGGGGTATGCTAAGAGCTATATAGCCGAAATAAATAAATATATTAGCAAGGGTTATGCGCAGTTGCTGACTGATGAAGAGTCGTCGAACGTAGGTCCATCGACGTGGTATTTGCCACATTTTTGGGGTGATAAATCACAATAAGCCACAAAAGCTGCGTATAGTATTTGACGCAGCAGCATCCGTGTCGAATGTTTCGTTGAATTCTGTTTTGATGAAAGGACCAGAACGCGCACAGCCACTGATGTCACTGATGTTTCGCCAACGCCCACTTGCAGTTGCAGGCGATATACAAGAGATGTTCTCTCAGGTCAAGATTCGCCCTGAAGATAGACAGTCACAACGCTTCCTATGGAGACATGGAGATCCGTCCAAACGAATTGAAGTATATGTCATGACGTCCATGATATTCGGAGCCGTTTGTTCACCGTGTTGTGCTGAATATATTAAGAATTTAAACTCCAGCCGCTTTGAAGAGAAAATGCCACGAGGTGTTAAAGCTGTTGTTGAAAACACCTATGTGGATGACCTGGTCGCCAGTTTTGATAGTATTCAAGAAGCCAATGAAGTCGTAAACGAAGCTATTACCATAAATGCCGCAGCCGGATTCTTTTTGAGAAATTTCGTCTCTAACTGCTAGGAGCTACAAAATCTATTGAATCAGGGAACAGAGGCGCCTCCAGACATTGTTAGCATGGAACATGAGCCTAAAACTGATAAAGTATTAGGTATGTATTGGAATTCTACTGACGATGTTTTGGAGTTTCAGTTCAGATTTTGCAAGATTTCGCGTGAAGTGTTAGAGTGTAAACGTTCACCTACAAAACGAGAGCTGTTGGGACTCGCTATGGCCATTTACGACCCATTCGGCCTGCTTGCTAACATCACCGTCATAGTCAAGTTGATTTTACAAGAGACCTGGAAGCAGCAGATAGACTGGGATGACTCCTTACCAATAAATTTAAGAGAACAGTGGTTTTCATGGTGGAAAGCCTTCCGCAAAATAAGGCACTTTTCAGTGCCTAGATGTCTTTCGCCCATCTACTCTTCAGCTGATGAGCTGCAACTCCACATCTTTGTGGACGCTAGTGAAGCCGCCTACGCTGCCGTAGCTTATCTACGGATGAAGTACGCGATCGATGTCAGCGTCACATTTCTCGCAGCCAAGTCCAGATGTGCCCCTAAACGGGCAACCACTGTACCTCGCTTAGAACTACAAGCCGCAGTATTAGGAAGTCGTCTAAGAACTTCGGTAGAGCGATGCCTAGACCGAAGCATGCACAGTGTAACGTTTTGGAGTGACTCTAAAACTGTGTTGCTTTGGATTCGTTCCACTAAACGAGATTTTAAACAATTTGTCGCCAGCCGCATCTCTGAGATCCTTTCAACCACAAATAGCAACCAATGGCGTTGGATTCCGACAGCAGCAAATGTGGCAGATGAAGCCACAAAGTTTAAGTCAACACCAGAATGTTTGTCGAATTCTCGATGGATAACAGGTCCCTCATTTTTGCGCGAAAGTGAAGATGTATGGCCTATTGAGGCCGAGCCCGTACATTCTGACCTTCCTGAAGAAATATAATGTAAAAAGTCAGCAGTGTTTGTCATAAACAACGTTTTAATAATAAATATTTCAAAATACTCGACATTTATGAAGCTCCTTCGAGTGTATGCATGGGTCTTACGTTTCATAACCAACTGTAAATCAAACACACGTCGCCAAGGTGAACTAATGTCAGATGAATTGAAAACCGCCGAGAAGTATTTATGCCGCACTGTGCAACTTGAGTTTTATCAACATGAAATTGCCTTGTTACAAGCCAAAGAATACCTGCCAAAAACCAGTTCATTGTTTCCGTTAACGCCAAAGCTAGACGATAGTGGAGTACTACGAATAAATGGTAGAATCGATGCCGCGTACTGTCTCCCTGATTCAGCGCGACACCCAATCATTATTCCTCGAAACCATCATTTTGCAGTACTGATAATGGATCACTTCCACAGAAAGAACCATCATCAGAATAGCCGACTCACCATAAACGAAATGCGCCAGAGATTTTGGATACCACGACCCCATTCACTATTAGCTGCCGTCAAGAAGAAATGTCCAGTTTGTATCCGCCGGACTTCTAAGCCCGCCGTGCCGCTTATGGGCCAGCTACCACTCGA